CACAATGACCCCATCTCCCCTGTGCTGCTCAGAGCACTGAGTTCGCTGCCACTTCCCTGGGAGACTTTGCTCTTGGAAACAGAATTGCTGCAATTATGCAAAACAGCTGTGAGTGCACCAAGGGTGACCTCCAGCCCTGCCTTGGGGTGACCTCCAGCCCTGCCTTGGAGTGACCTCCAGCTCTGCCTTGGGGTGACCTCCAGCCCTGCCCATCCCTTAGAGTGACCTCCAGTCCTGCTTGTGCTTCGGAGTGACCTCCAGCCCTGCTCATGCCTCAGAGTGACCTCCAGCCCTGCCCATCCCTTTGAGTGACCTCCAGCCCTGTCTGTGCCTCAGAATGACCTCCAGCCCTGCCTTTGAGTGACCTCCAGCCCTGTCTGTGCCTCAGAATGACCTCCAGCCCTGCCTTGGGGTGACCTCCAGCTCTGTCTGTGCTTCAGAATGACCTCCTGCCCTGCCCATCCCTTAGAGTGACCTCCAGCCCTGCCTGTGCCTCAGAGTGACCTCCAGCCCTGCCTTGGAGTGACCTCCTGCCCTGCCCATGCCTCGGGCAGCACCAAGGCCAGCATCCACACCAGGGTGTGCGTGCGTGCCCACAGCCTGACACAGCCCAGCCTCTGCTCTGCCAAGAATGCCCGTGCCCCTCGTGTGTCTAGGCCAGACTTCTCCCTGGTGGACTTGCCAGGCTGCCAACAGATTTGGCCACTGCCAGGACAGCTGGCACCAGCCAGGTAGGGGTGAGGGGAGCTTGGTCCATCCTCCAGCTCAGCCTTGGAGAAGGGTCCACCCCAAGGCTTGGTAACAAACCTGCGTCAGGCTGATGCCAAGCCCGTGGCCCTGGAGGGAGCGGCCGCCGTGTCCCCATCACCCTGACGGCTCATTTGGTCCAGATTGAGCCATTAAAAGGCAGAAATTGGAAAACAATTTGTTTGTTCCTTGTGCAAGGCGCTCGGCGGAGCGAGCGATCGATGGCCGCGGGGCGCTGCATGGCTCCCGGCCGTCCAAAGCCCATTTGTTTGGGGGTGTTTGTTTGAGGAGCACTGACACAGCTCCTTGGGGACAGGGGACAGTGACGTGCCCCAGCCCAGGATGTCACTCACAGGTTTGTTGAGGGAAGGAGACAAATGGTCTCTACAAATACACGGATGGGGGGTCAATAGAGGCAGCAGGAACCGTCAATATCCAGCGGGGGTGGGTGGAAAAAGACAGGAGCTTCAGGGGCTCTGACAGGGGGGCCCTCTCTGCCACAACACCCCAAAGCTGCTGGGGTGCAGGGAGAGATCCAGAGCTGCTGGATCTGCTCTGGGGTCTGTGTCTGGTGAGGGGCCTCACACACTCTCACAGACACAGCCCCCCAGGTCTGCACAGCCCCCAGCCCCGGGGCACGGCACGTTATAAACGTGTGCACACACCTGGGTGTGGGTACAGACACACAGACACACATGTGAGAATGCACGTATGTGCTCACACAGGCTTCTGTGTACACGTATATACGTGTGCATGTGTGTTTATACAGATATATGCACTTATATTGCTATTTATAAATGTAGATATGTGGGTATGTGTATGCATGTATGTATAAATGTGCACATATTTAGATATATGTGTACAAATATACATATATATACACACATATACATAGACATATATACATATATATACGTGTATATATATACATATATATGTGTATATATATATACATATATATACACATATATACACATACATGTACATATATATGTATATATATACATATGTATACACATATATACACATATACATATACACACACACATATATATATACACATAATCCCAGAATCATTTAGGTTAGGGACTCCAAAAATCATGGAGTGTGTATATGTATTTGTGAATACTTGTACATACACATGTATATAGATATGTACATATAAACATATGCATATATATGTGCATTTATACAAACATTCATATATATACATATATCTGTGTTTCCATACATACACACACATATATATCTATATCTAATCTATATATCTATATATATTTATTATATATATTTGTGAATACTTGTATATACACATCTAATAGAAATGTACATATAAACATATGCATATATATGTGTATTTATGTAAGCATTCATATATATACATATATATCTGTGTTTCCATACCTACATACATGCATATATCTATATAATATATATATATATAAATATAAATATATTTATAAAATATCTAAATATAAAATATATAGATATAGATATATATGTGCATGTATGTGTGGATACATATATAGAGATGTGTCATGCTATTCCTTATGCATCCATCCCCACCCTCCATCAATCCATGATGTACCATTTCCTCATGCAGTCATCATCCCTATAAGCACACACGTGTGCACACGTGTGTCCATGCCTGTAGCTGTGATTCTGTGTCCATGTGCACATATGGATACCTGGATGTATTTACATAGATTCATCAGCCGTGTTATCTGTTAGAGATGTATGCATATGTATCTGTATTTTATACTGTATAAAGCCTTTATATTATACTGTATTATTTATGTGTGGCTGTGCGGGTCTGTCTGTGTGTCTGGGTCTGTCTGTGTGTCTGTCTCTGTGTGGCTGTGTGGGTCTGTGTGTCTGTCTCTGTCTGTGTGTCTGTCTCTGTGTGTCTGTGTGGATTTGTCTGTGGGTCTGTGTGTGTGTCTGTGCGGGTCTGTCTGTGTGTCTGTCTCTGTGTGTCTGTGTGGGTCTGTGTGTCTGTCTCTGTGTGTCTGTCTGTGTCTGTGTGTGTCTGTGCGGGTCTGTCTGTGTGTCTGTCTCTGTGTGTCTGTGCGGGTCTGTCTGTGTGTCTGTCTCTGTGTGTCTGTGTGGGTCTGTGTGTCTGTCTCTGTGTGTCTGTCTGTGTCTCTGTGTGTCTGTGCGGGTCTGTCCGTGTGTCTGTCCCTGTCTGTGTGTCTGTGGGCACACACAGGTGCCCGAGGCCCCCCGGCGGTGGCTGGCTGTGTGTGGAGCCGCCCTGGGGCGTGGCAGCCCCGGCAGCGCCTTTAAAAGCAGGACTGAGCTGGGCTGGTCTTGGAGAGAGAAACCCACTGAGACCCCCAGTGGGACCCCCACCAGGACACCCACAGGACACCCTGCTGAGCCTCAGAACCCCCAGGTGAGTCTCACAGGGCTCTGGCACTGCCTGCAGGTGACTTGGGGGGAAAGAGAGATGGAGAAAAGCCGAGGAGCAGATGGGAGGGAGAGAGCAGCTCAGAGACCCACTGAGAGGAGCAGAGGGGATCTGGGGCCTGGCCGTGCCCTGGGGAGGAGAAGCTCCCCAGCTCTTGCAGTTCAAGGAGGAGCTGGATGATGCTCTTAGCCACATGCTTTAGTTTTCAGCATCCTTGCAAGGAGCCAGGAGTGGGACTTAATCCTTATGGATCCCTCTGATTCTAGGGGAACTCTAGGGGAACTGGGGACCAGCCAGGAGAGAGGGATGGAAAAGACTTGGGGAGAAGGTGAAAGGGATGGAGGGGACTTGGGGACCCAAAGGGAGGGACAGAGGAGACTGTGAACTGTCCATGGGCTGGGGCTGAGTGCCCAGGCCGCCCTCACCACAGGCTGAGCATGTCCCAGTTCGGGAGCTGCAGCTGCCCCACTCCCCCCCGTTGTGTCCCCACAGCCATGAAGGTGACGCTGTGCCTCGGGCTCGTCCTCGCCCTCGCCGTGGCCTCCTGCCTGTGCCGGCCACCAGCAGAGCCACCAGCTGCCCTGGGGGACCCCCAGCAGCCCCTCCCCAGCCTGGCCCGGCGGGACTGGCCCAAGTACCTGTCCCAGGAGCAGCAGCACCTCCTGTCCCAGTTCCTGCCACACGTCCTCACAGGTACTGGGAGCTCAGGGTGGGCAGCCCTGGGGGGCGCAGCCTGGCCCCTGTGAGGGGATAAAATTCCAGCAATTTCCAGCAATTTCCAGCTCTAACTGCTGCCTTTGCCCTGGCAGAGCTGAACAAGCACGAGGCCTTTGTGCATGAGGATGAGGGGATGGAGGCTTTGCACGACCACTTCTACCCCGACTGGATGGACTTTGGCCGCCGCAGTGCTGAGGATGAGGCTGGTGCTGTGTAGCTGCTGGGCTGGACTGGCTGGGCAGAGCACTGCCACGCTCAGTGCGTGCCCTTTCCTCAATAAAACTCTGGCACCATGGCCTCTGCACTCCTGGCTGTGCTGGGGAGAGCCTGGGAGGGTGGGCAGAGGGGATTTGCCCCCAGCCCCAGAGGGCAGAGGGGATTTTCCCCCAGCTTCAGAGGGGATTTGCCACCAGCCCCAGAGAGCAGAAGGGATTTGCCCCCAGGCCCAGAGGGATTTGCCCCCAGCCCCAGACAACAGAGGGGATTTGCCCCCAGCCCCAAAGGGCAGAAGGGATTTGCCCCCAGCCCCAGAGGGATGCGCAGGACAGAGACTGAACTGGGCACAGCAGCACACACAGAACGTGGCAGCAGACACAGCACACAGCAGCTGCTCTGTGAATTCACATTTATTTGCCAGGGGATGGGGCACAGCTTGGAGGAAGGGACACAGCTGGGGGGAGCAGCAGATGCACCCCCAGAAACATCCCAAGCTGTGGATGCTGCTACTATTGCTACTGAGTGAGCAGGAAAGAGCTAAACCACCATTCCCTTTAAAAGCCAGTCCAGCCCAGGTGCTGGCCAGGGGCCCAGCCCAGGGGGCAGGGGTCTCCCCCTGGCCCCAGCAGGTTGCCCCAGGACACACCTGAGCCCAGACTGGGATTCACCCTTCCCTGCAGCATGTGGACAGCCCCAAACGGGCCAAGCTGCCCCTCGCTCCGCAGACAGGCTCAGCAGAAGCAGGAACAGTTTTTATTGCCAGAAACTGGCTCCTGTGAAGGGTCCACACTCCCCCAGCAGGGACAGGGTCAGCCAGCACCCCCTGTACCCCCCATACCTGGGGAGCAGTGCCAGGTTCTGTCCTTGCAGCCAGGGCAAAGCCCCCCATGCTGGTGCCAGGACCTGGGGCAGCACCAGGAGCTGAGGCTGAAGCTTATCCTGTCTCCATTTCCCCACGGATGAGTGAGGAAGAGGATGTGTCACCCTGAGCCTGGGGGCTCTGCGGCAGTGTCACTTCTGGGTGCCCCAGGCCCCTCTGGGCCGTGGCTGTGCATAGGATGTCCCCCCTCTGGCCACCACCTTGTCCAGCCCCAGGCGCTGCAGCTTCTCCACCAGGTTCCAGCTGAAAGTGCTGCTCCTGCCTGGGGGTCCACCCTGCCCCCTGGGCACAGGGGGCTCAGAGTGCTGAGGGTCCTGGGAGTGGAGTGAGGGGGCCCACCGTGATCCAGTCCTTGGTGCCAAGTGGGAATCTCGCCCCAGCAAGAGCCTGAAGAGTCCCAGGGGGGTGCTCGGGGGTCCAGGGCCAAGCGCCAGCGTGGGGGGAGTCAGTTCTGGTGAGGGGCTGCTGAGGCTCAGCCCCTCAAAGGGCCCACAAGAAGGCACGACGGCATGATACAGACTGGAGGGGAAGAGAGAGCAGAGGGGGATCAGCTGGGGGCCCTGTCCTGGGGGATGCTGCTGAGGGGGCCAGGCAGGGCTGCAGGCAGAGCAGGACCCTCTGTCCTTCACCTAAAGAGCCTTGGGCTGTAGGAGACCCCCCAAATGGGGGCTGCTCCTCAGCAGCCAGGAGAGACTGGGACACAGTCACTGCTCCACCAGCAATTTCCAGACACCAGGGTTTTGTCTAGCAGTGAACTCCAGCTCACACCAACCCCCAACGAGCCTTAGGGGGCCTCATTAGGGCTAATCACCGGTGCTCATTAATGAAGGGACAGCCCAGCAGCCGGCTGCGAAAAGTTCCTGGCTGCTGCCCAAGTGTGGAGGGAGGAAAGCTGTGTGGGTTCCCCAGAGTGCCAGGAGCACTCACTGCTCCCCTACCCGAGGAAGGCTCTCCATTCATCCCTCCATCATCCATCCATCGGGGTGCTGCGTGCAGAGGAGGGGGCTGGCCCCAGCCCCTGGCACACAGACACCCCAGCAGCCAGATTTGGGGAGATTTCTAGTTGCTGGCACCTCTCAGAGCAGCAGGAGCTGCAGGTGGCCCCCGGCTTGCCCTTTCCTCGAGCTGCAGGGAGCCAGGCCCGGGGTGAGGAGGAGGAGGAGAGGGCTCGGGGGCACGGCGGGGCCGGTGCAGGCAGCGCAGGCGGCGGGGGCCACGCGCCTTACCTGGGAGTCACCGTGGTGATCGCGGTGGTGGGGTGGAGGATGTGGCAGGTGGTGATGGTGAAGGTAGACGGGGTCTGGGGGAGGCTGTTAACAGAGAGGAACACTGGAAGGGACAGGAGACAAGGGGTCAGGACACAGGTGCAGGGCACGGCGGAGGGCAGGCGGGACAGCCAAAGCTGGGCTGGAAGCTCCTTGCACAGGGCACAGATTCAGCAGCAACTGCGTCTGGTGCCTGCTCAGAGGGGGCAGCCAGCACAGGTGGGGCCAGGAGATGCCGTCTGTCCCAGACCGGCCCCTTCCAGGCAGCGGAGGGGCAGCAGGGGCTCGCCAGGGGGATGGCGAGGGCTCATCCCGCCGGGGCAGCTGCCCGAGAATGTTCCTTGTGCAGCTGCAGGCGGAGCATCCCCGTGGGGACAGGCGGGTGGCAGGGACAGGCTGCGGCAAGAGGGGAGAGCCAGCCGAGACAGGAGGGCAGGGGCACCCCGGGGGCTGCTTCCCCTCTGTCCCCTCATCCCCAGCTCACCCCTGGGGTGCTCCTTGGCTTTGGCGGGTGTTGAGGTAGGGAGCAGCTGGAAGGAGCTGGGGTCCAAATCATCCTCCTCCAGGTCATTGAGGCTGTAGACTTCCTCCAGGTCGATGTCCAGCTGCCTGAAGTCTTTGGTGAGCACCCCGGGACGGGGTACCAGGATCCCGCCCAGGTTGGGCTGTGCCAGCTGCTGCCAGTGGTGGAGTGTCACAGAGCCTGGTGGGGGACACAGCCGGGGGGAGCTCAGGTGGGGGTGTTGGACCCTCAGAGCGCCTGCAGCTCTGCAGCCCCTCTGCCCCTCACCTTCCAGTGGCTTCACAATCTGCAGTTTGTCGGGTAAGTAGGTGAGGGAGCCCAGCGAGAAGCCGGAGCCGGCGGTGAGCTCCGAGCCCCCCGAGCAGTTGGTGCCGGTGGAGACAACGCTGCCCTCGGGGGTGAGGAAGCCGCTGGAGCTGTCCCCATCTCTCAGCCGCCAGAGCTTGCGTTCCCTCTCGGCCTCGAAGAAGGAGCGCTCCTCGGAGCCGTGGCTCTGCTGCCGCACCGAGAGCCGCTGCACCGCCGCCTCCAGGTCCTGCCGGCCCGGGGCTGCCCGGCACTCCTCCCCGACCCCCTCGGCCCTGCTGGGGGGCACAGCGTTAGGGCTGCAGCCCTACCCTGCACCTCAGGCTGTGCTGGGCCCCAGCCAGACCCTGCTCTCCCTGCCCCAGGCTGCTTCCAGCAGCTCACCAGCAGCCCAGCCCCTGTGCAGGAGCCGTCCCACCTGGCTCGTTCCCCCCCACCTGCCCCATTCCCCCCCCACACCTGCCCCATTTCCCCCACCCCAGCGCTCACTGGGCATCCTCCGAGCCGGAGCAGTTGTTGTGGGGGGTGCTGGCCCCCCCAGAGTGGGCAGTGGACAACTGCTTGGAGCCTGGAACGTGGTGGGGAGACTCAGAGCAGGACTTGGCTTTGGCTGCCTGGTTCACGGCCTTCACGGTCTCAAAGACGCGCTGGTAGCTCCTGTGGGCAGGAAGCAGCTCAGGGTGAGCCGGACCCTGCCCCAGGGCACAGCACCAGCCCCCGATGGCAGCACTCACTTGTAGTCTGAGGAGGAGCTGTCCGTCCTCTTCCTCATCATCCCCTTGATCTCGGCCGCCAGCGAGTCCTGGGGACAGGGGTACGCAGTGTCAGTGCCGGGGGGACAGCGGGGTCACCCCCCTGGCGCCCGGCCCCCGGCTCACCACGGGCAGGAGGCTGGCCGCGCTGTAGCGGCTGACGGTGCTGTTGGGCAGGCTGCGGCTCCGCAGGCTCTTCACCTCCTCCCGGGCCTCCTGCAGCATCCCGCCGCACTCCGCGTACTTCTCCTGCAGATCCCGCAGCTGCGAGGACACCGAGGGAGCTGGAGCACGGCCCCGGGGCAGGACCCCGCACCAGGGGGGCACCCAAAGCTTGTCCCGGGCTCACCTCCAGCCGGAGCTGCTGCTGCACCTCCTTGGCCGCGGTCAGGTGCTGCTGGAGCTCCTCCACCTCGGAGCCGTACTGCGGGCAGGAGCGGAGGGTCAGGGCGCTGTGCCCGCATCCCCCTCTCCCCGGCACGGGCAGGGGACCCTCACCGTGCGACACTTCTGCTGCAGGTCCGCCACCTGCGCCAGCAGCTGCGTGATCTCCTCCTGCTGCCGCGCCGCGTCCTCCGCCCTGTGCGCCAGCTCCTCCGAGAGGTGAACGACCTGCTGGCTCGCTTCGGCTGCGGGGGGGCCGGGGTCCGTCACCACCGGGCACGACCCCCAGCCGCAGCCCACTCAGCAGGGCAGTGCCTGCAGACCCCCGAGCCCTACGTACAAAACTGCTCCACGCAGTCAATCATCAGCTGCTGCTCCTGGTCCTCGTACTGACAGGTCTCAGTGGCGATGTTGGTGGCCTGGGGGAGAGGGTTGGGGGGGCTGAGCTTGGCAGGCAGGACCTGCTGTCTCCCTGAGGGGGCAGCTCGGGTGTCCCCCAGAGAGAGCAGGGCACAGGTGGGCACCGAGGGGCATCCACCAGCTGGCTCTGCTCACCTCCATGCGGAGCTTCTGGTTCTCCTCCTCCAGGCACCGGAGTTTCTGCTGCAAGGTGTCGTACTGGAAGTACTGCTGCAGGGACAGCGAGGACTCGTGCCTGCGCAGCCTGGGGACAGCAGGGATGGCCTGAGCAGTGCAGGCAGGGTGGGGCTGCCCACTCTGACCCCTACCCACTCCCCCAGCGACCAAGCTCTGTGGGGTTGGACCCACGGCCACCAAGGGAGGGAAGGGATGTGGCCAGTGCTGCCCTAGGGATGGTGATGGCTCCTGCCCAGCCCACAGGTGAGTGGCAGGACAGGGACTCCCACTCACGGTGTGGAGGTGGTGGTGGCAGGCTCGCTCTCCTCCGTGGTGGTGGTGTAGAAGTGGAGAAGGTCATCCCGCATGGAGACCTCGTGGCGCAGCTGCGCGATCTGGAGAGAACAAAGTGCTTCAGGACACGGCCAAGGGGACCACAGCTGCCCCCAGGGGGGCACACAGGGGCCCAAGGCTGTGCCCAGGAGCCGTTACCTCCTCTTTGGCCAATTCCAGCTGCTCCTCCAGGAGCTCATTGCGCTCAGTCAGGCTCCGGTTCTGCTTCAGCAGGGACTGCCCAATGCGTGCTGCTAACTCCAGGTCCCGCTCTTTCTGCGAGGGGCAGGTCTGCCTCAGCTGGGACTCCTCACCTACCCCTGTGTCCCCAGGGTCCCAGCAGCCCTCACACTGGTGGGATCTCCAACGTACCTCATCCAGCAGGTTGGTGACAGCGTCAATATCGTGGTAGGTCTTCGTGATCCTGACCACCCGCTCAGCACACAGGACTGGGGGAGAGGGCCAGAAGGTGAATGCCCACACTGTGGGAGTACTGACCCAGGGGTTCAGCACTATCCCCACAAGGCTGCCTCAGGCTGCTGTCCAAAAAGGACATTTTGTCTGCTGGGTGGAAACTCACACAGTGCCAGGCAGGGATCCCCACAGCTGGGACAACATCATGGGAAAAAGGGGGCTCACACCTCACCCCCGACCCTGCCCGCACCTTGGGGTGGCAAGAAAAATGTTGGGTCCCCTTGCTGACCCCACGACCACAGCACAGGCACAGTGCCAGCCCCACTGCAGGACTCACGGACAGAAAGGGGGGACGGGGAAGGACAGCAGCAGAGACAGGATCGGAGGTGACATCTCCAGCAGAAAGCAAGCTGGAGCTCCAGCTGTGGGTGGCACCGTGCCGAGCCGGGCTCACAGGCGGCGTCCCCTCCAATCTGTCCCTAGCCCCCTCCCCCAGATCTCCCCCCTGCCCTAGTTTCTCTCTGGGGGAGGGGATGCTGCAGCCCGCACCCACCCGGTGCCCCTGCAGCTGCACAGCACAACGCACAGAACGCACACAGCACCGGAGGCAGCTGCGGCCAGGACGCTGCGGGCACGGGCAGCTGCCCACCGCGTCAATCCGGGCCCCAGCGACAGCTCTGCCTCCCCCGCTGCTCCCTGGGTCTCTGGCACGGAGAGGAGGTGCAAGCACGGAGACGTGGGTCCCCCCGGTGCGGATCCTGCCAGGCAGCGCCGGGCACGCACCCAGACGGCGGCGCTGGAGCCGTGCGGCCGGAGGGAGCCGGGAGCAGCCGCAGGGCCCCGAGCCCTGCCCGCACCCCAAACCCTGCTTCCAGCCCGGGACCTGCCTGTACCCACACCCTGCCCACGGCACGCAGCACTCCCGGTGTCCTTTCTGCTGCTCTGCTGCCCCGAGGGTGTGTGCCTCAGTTTCCCCTGGCAGAGCAGCGCTGGCTGCGCTCAGGGCCCCCACCCGCGTCCCCAGGCAGAGCCACCCCCCAGTCGTGCAGACGAAGTGGGTTAACGGGGAAGCTCAGCCACACAAATCCCATTAGGCCTCCCCAGCTGGGGTTGTGTAATGGTGAGTGTGTTGTCATGGCGATGCCCCCACTCGCCACCCCGGTCCCGTCCGCTCCTCGCTGCCCCGGCTGCTGCCCCACGCCCCAGAGGGCACGTACCCCAAACACGGCCATGCGGAGAAGGGACAGCCCCAGCCTCACCCCCCTCTCCTCACCCCGACAGGCCCCCTCTCCGCGGGGGTCCCCAGCCGCACCTCGTCAGGCCCCTGAGCCATTAATTGGAAATAATTAGAGCATGAGCATCGTTACGGTTGGAGCGAGCGGCTGGCCCTGGGAGACGGGGGCTGCAGCAGCGCTGGCGAACACGTAAACATCCATCCACGATGGGCCCGACCCGGCGGGGTGCGGGAGGGGAGGACCCCGTTCCCACGGCAGGAGGGACGCCCTACCCCACGGGCACACGCAGACCTGGCAGGGCCCCTCTCCCCGTCCCTCCCGGCGTGGGGACAGGTCTCCTTGGGGTCGGGGTGACCCTGGGGGTCCCCAAGGGACGGGGCGGCGGCAACCCCGAGCCAGAGGGAGGCGAGGGGACCCGGGATTGAGGAAACGCACAGGAGGGGAGCACACGGCAGCTCCCGAGGGAAGACCCCGGCCCCGACCGCTCCGGACCAGCCCCGGCCCTAGGGAGACCCCGGCCTCGTCCGCTCCGGACCAGCCTCGGCCCCGGGGAGACCCCGGCCCCCGCCGCTCCAGACCAACCCCGGGGGGAGCCCAGCTCTGCTGCAGCCCCATCCCCATCCCCATCTCCATCTCCATCTCCATCCCCGGGGCGGGACCACCCGCGCCGCCCTCACCTTCCTCCAGCTCCCGGGCGATGGGGTCCGCGCCGCCGCCGCGCTCCGCGTTCCCGTTCAACTCATCGTAGGCGGCGGGGCTGCTCCAGATCTCCATCGCGCCGAGCCCACCGCGGCCGCCCAGCCCGCTGTGCCCACCCAGCCGTGCCGTGCCGTGCCCAGCCCAGCCCAGCCCAGCCCCGCCACGCTGAGCGGAGCCGCTGCGGCCGCTCCCGCCCCTATTTATAGGATCGCCCCGTCCCCCGCACCTGCCCGGCGCATCCCCCGGCGGCGGGGCCAGGGCCGGGGCCGGGACGGGGGCGGAGCCGGACGGGAGCAGCGCGGGGGCGATGCGGGGGTCGGGGGTGCCCATTCCGCCCCGTTTTCCAGGGCTACCCCAGGGACACGATCCCCATCAGGCACCCTAGGACTGGGCTGCTTGTGGGGAGCCCACCGGGACAATCCTGCTCAGCCCTTGGGGGCTGGTGCAGGTGTCACACCTCTTGTCCCAGCTCATAGCCCGGGGAGCCCGGGCACATCACACACCCGCGGGTGGTGGTGACTGCTGAGGGACACCGGGGGTCCCTGAGCAGCAGCTCGGCAGTGTTGACGCTGTGGGTCACGCACAAACAGCAGCTTCTGCCCCTTGGGAAGGACAGGGAGAGATTTTGGGCCCTTCACACAAAGCCATGGGGTCCCCATGAGAGTCAGGGTACATTTTTCTGGCCAGCCCTGATCTGCCACCCTGCTCTGGACTCCCCATCATCACCCACGCCACAAACCCTGCACCTGCAGTGCCCATTGCAGTGCTGGGACCTGCCAGGCCCCTGATCAGGGAAGGGCTTTTCCATCCCACTCCAGCCTCCCCATTCACCACCTCTGGCTCCAAGCATGGGCTGGCATGAGCCTGGCATCCTCTGTGCCCCACCCAGGATGCCCCACACTCCCTGGCTGGCACCCTCTCATCCCCACAGCCACACTGGCGCAGAAGCAGCACAGAAGCAGGAAAAGTGAATAAATCATGGTGTGCTGAATTATGGAGGAGCTGGCAGGCACGTAGCACAGGCCACGTGGGTGTGATGCTGGAAATGCCAACGTGCTCTGTCCTCATCACCTGCCCCAGTGCCCATCCTTGCTAGCACCCAAACAATCAGTGAAGGGAGGCAGCTGCCCCTCACCATCACACACCTTTGCCTGCTTGACTCCTTCCTGTTGGAAGGATCCTGGGATCCTGACCCCAACTGCATTCTGCCATAACCCCCAGTCCCCTCTGGAGCGAGGACTGGAGCAGGTGCCCTCAGTCCCAGCCTCTCCCTCCTCCTGGAGCTGCATTTTCTCTTGGTAAGGTCTAGGATGACACAGCCAGCACCACCAACTGGGCACCCAACCTCCAGGGACCCCAAGGACTCAAGCACGCGTCTCAGCATGGACAGGCAGGAGCTGCTTCTTCCTAATCCCCTGCCCCAGGATTTGCTCCTCTGGGCAGGTTCCCTGTGCCTGCAGAAGCAGATTACAGGGGACTATTTCTGACGGCAGCTTAGAGGTTTGAGTGAAGGAATGACGCCCTCCAGCACATGCCAGCAGCACTGGAGGCCTGGGTATCTATGACCTGCAGGATTCTGGGACTGAGAGCCACTGGCCCTGTGGAGCAGGGCTGGAGTCCTGTGGTGCTGCATGTCCCTACCCCATGGCACAGAGACAGAGTTTGGGGCTCAATCCCTCGTACTGCCACTGCAAGGGGCAGTGCTGGTGGTCCCCACCTGCTGAACGGAGAGGGGAGCAGCCACAAGGGGAGGGCTGCAAGCACAGGCAAGGCATGGTGAGGATGATGCTGAGCCTGACATGAGCAGGTGGGTGGAGGCCTCGGCCCCATCTGTCTCCCACTGCCCCACATCCATCCCCCAGCCCCTTGCTCTAATCCTGCCCCCGCCACACGCAGGCCAGAGGCACAAACAAAGCAGAGATAATCCGTCTGTGCCCCCCGCTGAACCCCGACCTCACCCAGGGGTGGGCCACGTCACAGTGCCACGGGCACTGCCCCTGCCTGGCCGTGGGGGCTGCAGGGATCTCCCCCTGGGACCACCACAGCTCTGGGGGCTCTGCTGGCAGCAGGGGCCCTGAGCCCTGCTCCAGGCTGGCATTCTGGGGCAGCAGCAGCCCTGGGATTCACTGGCACACCTTGCCAAGCCCACCGGTGCCCCAGCCCTGGGAGCCACGGCACAGCACAGGGGAGCAGGGACATGCAGGGGGTCCCGGGAAATGATGGGGGCTCTCTCCCAGCATACAGCTTGGCTCAGCAGCAGCTGCTCCCAGAATTAGCCCGGGATGTTCTGGGTGAGGAAATCCAGCCCGTCAATCCCATTAGCAATGATTAGCGCCCAGGCTGCCCCCACCCAGGCTGTGCCCACCGCCCTCGCCAACCCCGCTGCCTGCGGGCACTCACGGAAATACTGCAGGGTCTCCTCTATCTGCTGGGGGGTCAGGGGGGCTACGGGCTGCGGGGGGCCGCTGGGGGCTCGCAGCCAGTCGCCGTGGTCATAGCCGAACACGGTGTCAGCCCGCAGCGTGTAGCGGGGCAGCTGCTCGCCCAGCAGGCTGACAATCTCCACCTCGGGGGCATCCTCGCTGCACAGCTCTGGGGACACAGGGACACGGTGTCAGCCGAGGGTGGGGGGCATATGCGGGGAGTGGGCTGCACAGGGGGCTGTGCAGGGGAGTACATCCTGCACCCCTCACCCCACTCTGTCCCCTGGGGGTTTGGAGCTGGTGCCACCAGCTGTGTCTGTCCCCAGAGCCCCCAGTGTAGGGATTAGGGGGTCCCCCGTAGAGTGGCACTCAGGGACCCTTCCCCAGCTCTCTGCTCCCCCCATCGCCCGCTGCCTGCGGGCAGGGTCCTGCTGCCATCTCCTGGCCGCGCTCTGCCCGCCCGAGCGGCGCTGGGGACAGCGGGCGTGGGATGCAGCGTGCGGTGAAGGATGCCGGGACAATGGTTCATCTCCGGCCACAGAACGGAGACAGCATGAAGGAACAGCCCAAAGGACACCCAGCTCCTCACCCCTCTCAGCCCAGTTCCCCCGGGGTCCGCTGGCATCCTCAGCTCTACCCACCAGTGATGGTCGCGGCATCGCGGCGTGTGCCCGTGTCTGAGCGCTGGGACGCTGGGCTGGTGTGGGGACAGGCAGTGACAGCTGAGTCCGGGCTGGGCTGGACGTGGCAGGCGGGTGGGCTCTGGCTGGGGAGGGTCTCTCGTGGGACCGGGGTGTCCAGTTTGGCTGGTGTTACGTGGGGGCCTGGCTGCCATGGGGAGAGGCACCGTCCGCCCTGCCTCCCTGGAGCGGCGCTGGCGGGCAGCAGAGTCCCTTCTCCGGTCCCTGCCTGGGGGGAAGGAGCTGTTCAGGTGATGCTGGAGGGACCAGGGACACATCCTGAACCCCCACATCCCCCGCAGGACAAACACCTTCCTGGAGGCAACATCTGCCAGCCCGGAGGCCGGACGGCATAGCCAGGGCTCAGGTATCCCTGCTCCCTGCCGATGGCACAGGAGAGCTGTGGGAACAGAATCCAGCTCAGCTCCACCCCTGAATGTGGGGCAGGTTTGGCAGAGGCAAGGGGTCAGCGTACCTGGTCTGCGGTGCCTGCTACGTGACGCGGGGGGCTCAGCACCAAAGCAGCGCCAGGGCCGGGCACGACCGGACAGGACAGGACAGGACCCTGTCCCGCGCAGGGTCCCTGCGGGGTCGCTGCCTGTGGAGCGAACAGGGAGGAGCTGTCGAGTTGCCCGGCAGTGGGCAGACACAGCAGCGGTGCCAGGGTGAGCCCTGGGGAGCTCCACCTCGAAGAGCAAAGTCCAGCTGTGAACCTCCACCCTGTCAGCACCACGATGCAGAGCAGGGAGCTGCCGTGCCGTGCCGTGCCGGGCAGGGCAGGGCAGGGCAGGGCTGGGCAGCTTCTGCAGCTGCCTCATCCCAACCATAAACACATCATGAGACGGGCCATAAATCCAGCATATCCCTGCTCTCTGGCCACCTCCAACGGCTGTGGCTCAGGCTGCAGCGCTGCTGGCACTGCTGCCCCTCTGCCCTGCAGGGCAGGAGCCTCTGCACAAGCCCCGTGCCCCATCTCCAGCCCTGCTCCCACCTCCACCATCGTGGGGGCTGTGGTACAAGCAGCCCCTCGCTCCCGGCTCATGCCAGGGCATGGCTGCCCTCTCTCCTAGCACATTCTCAGGGTCGCTGCCACATGCACAGCACCCAGACCAGGCCACCCTGCTCCCCCCTGGCACACAGAGACAGCACAAGGCAACACACAGACCCCAAAGCACACCCGCAGCCTTCCCCAGCCCTGTGCCCCCTGGCACTGGGACCACCAAACCTCAGGGCCCAGTCCTGCACCGTGCCGCCCAGAAAGCAGCTCCCCGAGCCCTCAGACCCTCTTGTCCCCAGGGAAGGACGGGGACCCACCGTGCGGAGGTGCCGCGCTGCCGCTGGCTGCGGGGAGGGAGCGCGGCCGGTGAGTCAGCTCAGCCGGGACTGCCAGAGCCCTGCAGAGCCTGCTTTTGGCCCGGCTCCTGCACGTACATTTACTCTCCCCGGGGGAGCCTTGTTCAGACACGTGCCGAGCAGCTCCCATCGCCCGCTGCTCCCACCGCCCCCCGCTCTCGCTCACCCCGGACCCCACTGTCCCTCCCTCCACGGGGACCTGCCCCGGGAGCTGGGCGAGGGCAGGACGGTGGGACACGGGCCAGGAGGAGCAAGGTCCCGGCTCAGGCCGCCCCAGGTACCTGTGCAGACTCGCTCCTGCCCTGCCCGGTGCCGTCCTGCACCTCCTGCCCGGGCACCTCCCGAGGAGCGGCCGAGCGCCGTGAGAAGGGGAGAGACGGAGGAAAATTCTCCCGGGGATGCGGCAGCCGCCCTCAAATTGTCCGGGGAATGGAGGGGACCGGCTGGGCACGGCCCGGGGGTCGCCCGCGGGAGCTGCCCGGGGATTTAGGGTGCCCGAAGGACGTGGGACACCGTGAGAACCGGAGGCAGGGCGCACCCGGTGACAGCGGGCACAGCGGAGCTGGAGCGGGACACCGCGGGAGCCCAGGGCTCGCTGCACCGGGAGTGCGGGAGATGC